GAGCAACTAACACTTTCACTTTCATACATTGTGAAAGGCTTACAGCAATCAAGCTGAGTAACATATTATTACACACCTAATACAGTTACCAGTTTTGGGCGTGGGGTGGGGTAAGAACAACTAAAATGTACTCTCTAAGCAATTTCAAGCATATAATATGATATTGCTAAGTACTGTCACCATGCTATATATATCCAGATCTTGTTCACCTTGCATGTCTGAAAGTTTGTACCGTATAACCAACATCTTCCCATTTCTCCCACTCCTAGCCCCTGGTAACCACCATTCTAGTCTCTGCTTTAAACAGTTCAACTTTTTTAGATTCCACATATAAATGAGATCATGAACCTAGAGGACATTATGCTAAGACACAGACACAGACAAATACTGCATGACCTCCTTTTCTGTTTTTCACTTCTTCCTGTCTATCCACTTCTAATTCAAAGAAAGAGCCCAGGTTGTCCAAGGTCATGGAGCAAGGAGAACGTGCACTGGCCTCGGAGTCAGACATCCTAGCCCCACCAGAGAATTACTGTATGATCTCGGTTAAGTTCCTATCATGCCCCTGCCTCAGTTGCCTCATTTGTAAAAGAGAACGATGACTACCATACCTGACTCGTGGGATGCTGTGAGGACTAAAGAGCACAATGCATGTGAAATGTTTCACAAAATGAAACTTGCTCTACAAATGTTAGTGCTAACTCACACCGCCATTCCCCAGTGTAACACCCCAAGCAAAGCACAATACCACCATCCATCTCTTGCGAAGGGACTAAATGGCCCACTGACTTGGGACTAAGCGTCACATGTGACATTCTGGAACATTTACTCTACCCCAGGCAATGAAAAATCACCACCATTTAATCCTCTCAATCTAGCAGCTAGAAGTCTGACTCTTTGTGACCCCGTGGACTGCAGCTGGCCAGGTTCCTCTGAGCATGGGATTTCCCAGGCAAGAATACTGGAGTGGGTTGCCATTTCCTTCTCCAAAGAAGTCCTAGCATTTTGTAGATGAGGAAGTGGAGGCTTGGCAAGGTCACAGTGCTGGTGAGGATGAGAGCCTGGGTCTGCACACATGCTTGACCCAAGCCCTCACCCCCTGCCTCATGTGTGCAAAAATGAGCTCTCATAGGGAGTCATCTTAGGAGGTAAGGGGAGGTTTCGTGGAACCCTTAAGAGCTCCCTAGAAGTAAAATGCTGTTTAGCTCCCAGGTGGGTGGATTGTGCGCGTGTCATCAGGAAGAGAGGTGTGGCTGTCCCCCCCCCCCACCCCCCCCCGCTTTCCTCTGTATTCCGCCGTCTCCACTGCCCCACTCTGCTGAGAGGTTAAATGGCAATCCTGAAACAAACATCACACTTTAATTGCACTCTGTCCCTCTGTTTATGAGGCAGAGTCCCTACCACTAGTACAGGAGAAGGAAAGGCTGTTTCTTGGGAACGGACCTGATGGGCCCCCTGACGTTGCCAGGGTACAGGGGAGATGGTCGAGCAGATCTTGCTGGAGGTAAATACTGGTGGCCAAGCCAAGCACCGTACCCCAAAAAGCAGAGGACAGATGATCTGGTGGGGTGGGGGCTGGCAGGGAGATGCAGAGAAGAACACCTCCTCACGGCTGCAGACTGTTCTCCCATGGGGAAAAACTAATTTGAAGGAGTTTCCAGTAATGACAATTCTTCTGAGATGCCACCTATTCATGGAGTCTGAACTTCCATAGACACCGACCAGCTGCATCTTGCCTACCATTTGTACATTCATGGAGGACAGAATTTTAGTTTTGAATGCCCACCTCCATGAGGTTTCCAGAACACCAAAGGAGGTTAATAAACAGGCTGGACAATGCCTCTACCTTCAAGCTCCACGTACTTAGATACGAGCAGAGAAGAACCTGTTTCTGCTGCAGCCAGAGCTTTGCCTCTTCTTGTGGTCAGGAACCACCTCTGGCCACTGTCATCACCTCATTATAACAGGGTCCTACCCTCATCTGGCCACCAGTTTTTATTGATGCTGGAATCTGAGCAGACCCGACAAGAACGGAAGGTTGACCTAAGAGGAAGCAGGACACTGAGGCTTGGCCACAGAGAAAGAAGAGACTGCTCTGTGGTGCTATGTCTGTTTCTAGACACACCTCTAACCAGCTGGTGACTTAGCACAACTGGCTTCCCCTCCCTGAACAGCAGGGCTCTGCTGCAGGCTAGCGAGGTTAGATGCCGCAGTATTCCCCAAGCCTACCCCTATTTCTGGCATTTTTTGCACAGTGCTTTGAAGATGAGAAGGGCTCAGGAAATGCTTTAGAAGTATGAAGAACATCTGGTTGACCCTAGGCTTGTGCCTTCCCACCCACCTTCTCCTTAGTCTTCTGTGTGAGTGCGTTTGAGAGTGCGATGTTGGTGGGGACCCAGGAGGACGAGAATAGAAACATAGCTCGGCTGAATGGCAGGTGGGACATCTTAAGAAGAAGAGGGGAGTGTTGGGGCGAGAAGAGAGCAAGCAAAGCAGAAGCAGAAAAACTGACCCGGAACCTCCCTGGAGGTCCAGTGATTATGAATCCGCCTTCCAATGCAGGGGATGCAGGTTTGATCCCTGACCCCTGGTCAGGAAATGAAGGTCCCACATGCAGCAGGGCAGCTCAGTCTGGGGAGTGCACTAGAGAGGAGAACTAGCCAGGAGCCTGAGCGCCACAATGAAGACCCAGCATAGCCAAATAGATGAATAAACAGTGTAAAACAGAAAAAAAGATAAACTGCCCCAATACTTTCCAGGGAACAGACAAGGCGGTGAGTCAAGAAGGTATTTGCAGAGAAGTTTCTGGTTAGTGTTCTGATGAGGGGGATCTCGGTGGGGCCCCAGGTGGGGGTGATGGAGAGGTAGGAGGACGTATTTCTGTGACAAGGCTGAAGGGACATCACTGTGCTTGGCACATGTCCCTTCCCCTAGCATGGCAGGAGGCAGAAGTCACCATGTGGTCACCACTGCCTCTCAAATCCAGGAGGAACCAAGGAAAGAACACAAGCCTCAGATTCCAGGGCCGGCTCCATGACTTGCCAGCTCTGTGGGCTGGAGCCAAAGTGTCCCCTCAAGGAGCCCCACATCCTCTGATGAAAGAACAAGGTGAACAACACTGCAGGAACAACACAATCACACCATCTCTCCCCCAGCCATCGGGAGGGTAGTATCCGAAGAGGTGAAGTGTGTGAAAATCCTTGGTGAGTATATGAAGAGGTTCCCAAATAGCTGAATACTCATTATGATGAAAAAAATATAAAAAGACAAAATAGGCACTCTGCTTTGACTAAAGTCAGGAAACGACCGTTCGTAGGTCGTTGTGGCCCTGGCCCTTGGAGATCTGCCTCAACCCCAAAGAAGTCTCTGGGCCATTTTCACTGGACTCTGTCTTCACGCGAGGGGTTTGCAGTGCAGTGTTTCATGGCAACTCAAACGAAAGAGTATCTTCTTGAGCTTCCTGAAGAATGAAGCTGTCCAGGATGCTACATTTGCCTTAATACTTCATTAATAACACTGTCTCTGGCATAGCTTTAGATAGAGTTAAATACTCCACATTGAGTCTAAATGCTGGTGATGGAGACAAAGCCAAGGGCTCCCAAGACAAGCCCATAAATGGGAGAAAATATTTGCAAGTGAAATGGCTGATAAGTGATTAATGTCCAACACATATAAACAGCTCATACAACGTAACATCAAAGAAATAAACAACCCAATTAAAAAATGGGCAGAAGAACTGAATACACATTTTTCCAAAGAGGAAATGCAGATGGCCAACAGGCATATGAAAAGATGCTCAACATCATAATCATCAAGGAAATGCAAATGAAAACCACAAGGAGATATCTCACACCTGTCAGCATGGCTATCATCAACAAGGACACAGACAACATGTGGAGGATGTGGGAAGAGGGGATTCTTGAGTACTGTTGCTGGGAATGTAAGTTGGTATAGCCACTGTGGAAAATAGTATGGGAGGTTTCTCAAAAAAAAAAAAAAAAAACTAAAGACAGAGCTATCACATGAGTCTGCAGTTCCACGCCTGGGTATACATATATAAGAAAAACAAAATGCTAATTTGAAAAGATACCTGTACCCCAATATTCACAGAAGCACTATTTACAATAGTCAAGATATGAAAGCAACCTAAGTGTCCATCAACAGATGAATGGATAAAGAAGATACACACACACACACAGTGGACTACTACTCAGCCATAAAAAAGAATGAAACTTTGCCAATTGCAGCAACATGGATGACCCTGGAAGGCATTATACTAAGTGAAATGAGTCAGACAGAAGAAGACAAATACTGTTTATCACTTATATGTGGAATCTAAAAAATACAATAAACTAGTGAATATAAGAAAAATGAAGCAGACTCACAGAGAGAATAAACTGGTGTTTACAAGTAGAGAGAAGGACGGGGGGAGGGGCAATACAGGAGTGGGAGGCACAAACTACTGGGTATAAGATAGGTTCAGTGAGGTATTATACAACACAAGGAATATATACAATATTCTGAAATAGCTGTAAATGGAAAGTAACCTATAAAAGTTGTATAAAATTAAAAAAAAATTTTTTTTTTAAGCCAAGAGTTCCTTCTTCCTTTTCTGTATGCTGCTGCTTTGGACAGAACACTGCAAAAGCATACTAAATAAACAAATAGCCAACTCAAATCTACCACTTCGCAAACAGAAAGCTTAAGGATTCATCTGTCTGAGCCCCTCATTTTATAGGTGAGGACACCAAGACCAATACAAGTGCTTGGACCAAAAGCCCATGCCTCGTAAATGGCAGAGTTGGTCCCAGAGTCCATTTGTTTCTCCACTCTACAGTACATCATGATCTCCACTTCTCATGCTTAAAATGCACTTTTAAGATTTAAACCTGAGCAGCATTCCATCTCTTTCCATCCATCTCTAAATGCATTTCAGAAAATGAGCCTGTGTCCCCACCCAGAAGTCCATGCCAACGGAGAGTTTGGGCCTCCTCTCTTACCTGTAAGTTTGCACAAGGTGGTAAAACATGAGTGGGGATTTCATTCTCAGAGCCTGCTGGCCCCAGGGGCTTGTTCTTGACCCGGAAGGCTGTGGTGGTGGTGGCAGTGGTGGTCTGAACTGGGAGGGCTGGCTGCCACACAGTCACATCCGAGCCATTGCCAAAGGCTTGAATTGCATTTTCTGCAGTAAAACAGGAGGAAATCCAATTTCAAAGTCAGGCAGCAAATGGAACGGACAGGATTTGTGAAGCCAGAGAGGTACACTAGAAATTCTGATGAGAGCACTGGACTTCTCTGAGCAAAACCCATCCATCCATCCACTCCCTACATACTGAGAGCCAGCCATGGGTCAGGTGCTCTAAAATCAATTCACTCATTAAACCCTGAGCTGGACACTTAGCTATGCTCTATAAGTGCAACAGATATTTATTGTGCCCCTCTTCAGATACTAGGTACTGAATAAGATCCTTTCCCTGAAACATTCATCAGTCAAGTCTTTTGAAACTTGACTCAAAATAGCCTCAGACCTGCTATTTGGGATCACAATCACTGTTCCATCTTTCAAAAAAAATGCTTGTGTCAAAATTCTATACTAATGGCAAGCTAATTAGTAAGTACCACATCCCTAATTATGAGACTGGGGCGACTCAGTAGCATTCATACAAATTCAGCAGGCAGTGAAATCAAACAGCAAAAAAAAAAAAAAAAAAATGTGATCCGCTACCAAAGAGCACCTACTATGAGCCCGGCATTGCTCAAAGTACAAACACAACAGATTTCTTTAAAGAAAAATATATCCCAAACCTCATCAATAATATATTGTGAAAATGTAAGCAAGATTATTTTTTTCCTTTCTGCTCCCAGTCTTCTGAACAAAATCTGCATAATTAGGAAGGCACAGCCCTGCTTAAATGAAAAGTTTAAAATGTAAAACTTTAAAAGCTTATTACAATTTCATGGGATTAGATTGTTTTTTATGGCAAGAGTAAATTGGTTGTGTGTTGTTCCCCTCCCCGAGATGAATAAAAAACAGGTTTTAATCAGGTCCTCAGGGATTTGGCCTGGATTTAGGATTTTTTTTTTATTTCATATTCATTGTATAAAAAATCAAATTCTTCCATTTGGGACCTGAATGTGCAAATTGTTAATATATGACTCTTAGCTGGCATTTTTCAATATATGAGACAGAATAATTTAAGCCTAATCTTCCTCTCAGAAGTGACATTTTGTTCTAAAATTGTTATCCTTGAAGTTCAGCAAATTGGAAGCTTGTTTTCAAAAACTTTACATTTTTAAGTCTGTAGGAAACAGCTTCAAATTAATATCAATGCTTCTTAAGCTCCCAGTTGGGTTACAGAGCTTAATGGGTGGGTGGAAGGTAAAGAAGCCGGTACTTGGGCAACCAGTTTCCTCAAATGACCCAGGACTACAACAATAAAACAAAACCTTCCTTTGTCCTGTTAAGGCATGTAGATTCAGGAGACCCATGTCATTTGTTGAAACTGTGATTTCCAGCATGTCTGCCTTGTCATTTGGGAAGATTGTCCACTTGCTCACTCATTCATTCAGGTGTCAATGGAATATCTACTAAGTGCCAGGCACTGTTCTGTGCTGAGACTCAGCAGGGGGCAAATGACACCAACAGGACAGAAAAGTCCCTGTCCTCTTGGAGGTTATATTCTGGTTAAGGAGGCAAACAGAGAAAGTATACAATACATCGTTGTTGTTCAGTTGCGAAGTCACGTCTGACTCCTTGCGAACCTATGAACTTCAGGCTGCCAGGCTTCTCTGTCTATGGGGTTCTCCAGGCAAGAATACTGGAGTGGGTTGCCATTGCCTTCTTCAGGGGATCTTCCCTTCCCAGGGATTGAACTCGGGTCTCCTGCATTGCAGACAGGTTCTTTCACCGTCTGAACCACCAGGGAAGCAATAGATTGGCGTCATGTTTGTGCTAGGGGAATTGGAGAGGTTTGGTTAATTTGAAGGGATGGGGGAACTGGGTTATTGCATTTAGGTTGAAACCTACAAATTCCAATTCCTTCTACCCTAAGGCTTGTTGCAAGAGGCTGAATTTAGTCTGTGTCTTTCGTAGGCTGTGCTCCATCTAATGAAAGTATAAATGGAATGACTATGAAAAATTCTGGCTGGCTTTGGTCCTCATTGAAGACCAAATGTGTTTATGTTTATTAAAAAATCATTAGCATTGATACCATTCTTCCCTTCACCAAAATATTATTAAGCAGGGACCACTTTAATTTCTCTCTGAGGTAGCAGTTTTCCAGCCCAAGTGAGTATCATCTTTTTTTCTCACACTGACTTCTATGGTCATTGCTTTATCTTCATTAAAAGCTGGATTCTGCCAGAAGAGTGTGCAGGATATGAAAAACAGGATACACACACACACACACATGATTTTTTTTTAGTTAAGACCAAAGAAGAGGCTTAAGGTATAGTTCCACGATATAGTGCCCAATGTTATTCTGGCAAGTGTCTCCACACTTTAGACTAGTTTCAAATTTCACTTCAGTATCCAAAAGCTTGTTTTCATTTTAAGATAATCAAAGCATTTGGTTATAGCCAAGTACCTACTGAGTGAATCTCTTAAATTTGTCTTTTCAACAAAAGAAACAATGAGGAGGTTTTTGAAGTAACACTTAAAAGCGTTCCTGTGTGCAAGCAGTAAATAGTTGGCTAATTCTTTAGAAATCAGTCAGAGTACCATGGAGAAATTGTCACCTAAGGGCAAAGTGCTCAGAGGCAGGTGAACCTTGGCCCAGGATTCCCAGTAGGAAGTTCTACCCGGTCCTTGATGTTCAGGCTTGTGTTTTTATCCATCAGCCCCTCAATCTCAGGCCTGATTCAGAAGCCCACGGGTGCAGAGGAAGGAAGTGGGTGGGGCTTTGGATCCTATCTCTGGTGTGGCTGGTCTAGGTGAATACCAGCTGCTTATTCCACTGGGGCATGGGGATACTAATTAGTGCATCTCCCAGGATTCTTGTGCAGATTACAGTCAATGAGACAATGTAATGGGCTGGCCAAAAAGTTTGATCAAGTTTTCTCTAACATCCTACGGGAAAACCCGAATGAGCTTTTTGGCCAACTGGATATATGTTACACTCCTCCTAGAAGGAGTTTACACACAGAGAAGGCACCCGATAAATGAATGGCAGCTGTTGCAAGACACAAATGAGGTACTCAGCTGGATCCTCGCCTGGGGCGCACACATCTCGGTGGATAGAAGGGAGATCTGGCACAGTGCTTTCCAAGTTCATTTGATGAGGCCCATCGTTCACACCCGTACATTTCTCTCTATCCCTCTTCCCCTGGGAAATGTGTTTCCAAATTGCCTAAAGGACCCTGAAATAATAATGGTACTGTTTCCAAGCAAAAACCTCCCCCCGACCCACCCCCCCAGCTCATCTCATCTCCGGAGATATCTGAAGCTCCTGGCTGCATCACCAGCCCATTCCACTCAAGAAGTGCTGCTTCTTCTCTGAGCCAACCCTGAACATCCAGGGGGCTATTGATGTTAACATTCTAATTTTTCTCACAGAGCCTTTGGAGGCCTACCCTCATCTAACTTGCCCGAAGTCTTTCACATTGTGTATGCTGCCCAGGTTTTAAAAACCTCTGGAACTGACATGGGGCTGGTTGCCAAAACCAACATTTCATCTGTGGGTAGAAGTGCTCCTCCCCACACGATGTGCCCCTGGCTATTGAGTCTTTCGCTTCCCGGGGCCTCTGGCCTCGCCACCTGGGCGGCACTCAGTTTGTCACTTGCTCTGGTCCTGCTGCACCACGCAGTGTGGCTAAAAGGATCTGGATTCACCAGCAGCGATCAGGAAAAAAAAAAGAGAGAGACACACACAGAGGAGGCAGACATAGGAAACACAAAAGTACAGTTTGAACTTAGGGGAAAACGTTTATGTGGCTGTTGTCTATTTTTTCAAACTCACTAAGACATGTGTTGTCCTTGAAGAAATTCAGAAATTTCAAGCATTCCTCCAGGTCGTTTCCGCTGTTGTTGCAGTCACACCAGGGGGCCACGCTGAGGCTACTGGAGTCTATGTAGTTGGGGGTCATGACTGTACCTAAAAGAGTACAAACAAGGCGTTTTATTCTTGTGTGATGATATAAACTTTCCTATAGCCTGAAAAGAAACAAATGTTCCTCTGACTTCAGATGCACCGTGGATAACACCGTGGATAATTACAAACACTGTGTTTGCTGAGTGGGAAATTATGTTAAGCAGTGCATTTTTTTGGCAATTTATCTTGAGCACATAAAATAATTTACACATTTACTTTAAAAATTCTAACAGAACTCCTTGAGCTGCGCTTAGGGTATTTTTCTCTGCACAAATGGTATGGATGTCATGGAGCAGGAGAGAATTAACTTAGAATGCATGAATTGCCAAATCCCTTGCATTTTCTTGAAAATGTCATTAATCTTCACAAATAGATAGAGCTGGTTTTACATATCTTAAAAGGCCTTTTAGGACTTTGCATCTACTTCCTTCAGAAGCAAATGGCTCCTTCAAGGTAACCCAGGGAAGCTTAGAAGCTTTCTTTATGGGTTACCCCACGTTCTAGATGTATTCAAGGAAGCCTCTGTTCACTAGACTCTCAACAGATTTAAACAAGGTCTTGCAAGTTGTGATGGAATTGGAAATAAACAGTGGAAATTTCCTAAGCCAGTGGTATTGTCTTAATAGTCCTCAAATATCCTCAAAGAAATGCTGGGTGGTCTCTTGCCTACATCTTCCTGTGTATTCATTGTTCTTCTGATGAGTTCTGTATTGGTGCAAATAAACAATGCATTTACACTTAACATGACCCAAATGTCTTCTCCTGGGTGGCTCACACCAGGCAATGCCTACCCATGCCAAGAAGCCTTCTGTTTTTATATATTTTGTGGAAGTAAGAAGTAATAGGCAGTCCAGTGAGTCACAGGATATATTTGGTTCAGAAAAAAAAAAAAAAAATTCTTTTTAAGCTTTTATGGATCAAGGGCATATCTTTGCCCTACATTCCTTACTGACCTGAACTAAACAATGTCCCATTCTACCTTGGGATGAAAACTTCAACCCACAGCAGAGAGAAGCTTGTAACTTTTGGTGAGAAGGAACAGGCACCCCCAACACTGAATGAAGAGGTTAGAGTATGTCTGCTAAGCACCCACTGTGTCTGGCTCCAGAATGGATCTCTGACATTTGGAAAAGGTAGGAACTAGCTTTGTCTTCAGAGATCTTAGAACCCAATGACCAGAGTGGAGGGAAAGATTTGGACCCAAGAGAGAAATAAATTTTGGCTCACAGAATGCATTGTTTCAACTAGTTCTTCCCTTAAGTGATTTCATTATCCTCGGGTATGTAATAGTTTGTTGAGCTTGAACCCACATGGAGTTTTCAATGAGCGTGTGCACCTTGAATGTGTAGACTAAGGCATTAACAGTGATTACATCTGGGAGTGGGGCTAGAGATCTTTTAACACTGTGGGTTTCTCTGCATTTTAAAAAACTCTTTACAATGAACATGATTTAATTCATTCTGTTATTTCTTAAACATGTAATTCTATCGTTGATAAATAATCCTTACTAGGAACTACTTTATTTAAGAAAAGGAAAAACTGAATGCAAATTTGGAGGAATGACTTCCCTGGCTGCCCAGTGGTTGAGACCCCAGGCTTCCACTGCAGGGTGGTCACAGGTTTGATCCCTGGTCAGGGAACTAAGAAGCCACATGCCAATCCTGCCAGTCTCACAGCATGGCCAAAGAAAAAAATAAATAAAAGTGGAGGGCTGACTTAAGGAAGATAAGCTCATGGGACCTGTCAGTGAGAATGGTCAGTCGCTGGTGAAAGGTATTACCCAAGACAGCACAGGTATCCTTGCAAATAAAATCGGGCTGAGTGTACAGCACCAGCAATATCCCAGCACTCAGTATGGCCAGTGATTTTCCCAGTGACTTGCTGAAGATATGCTGGCGACAAAGACTTTGGTCTGTGCTGTCACTCTTGATAGGACGTTCTTCCTGCCCAGTGACTAGTGTGATAGTGGCAGGAGCTGGCGCCCTGGCTGAGCCATCAGGCTTCTGACAACTGTGATTTCTCTCATCCTTGCCCAGCTTTCACTATGTGTTCCTTCTCACATGACAGTCGTGAGGGAGCCCTGCTTCCAAGGCTTCCCACAGCCCTGGTACCAGGAGCCCCATCCTTTTCTCCTGCTGCCCTGTTATTTCTGGGCACGAACCTGCCTCACTCCTGTCCTCTCCCAATTCACCAGTGCCTTGCCTAATTGCACTGCTCTCCTGAATGCCAAGCACCTCAGGTCTTGAAAGACAGAACAAGACTACTTCTGCTATGTTTGTTCTCAGGGAAAAAATATTAAGGAAACCTCCCTCCCTCCCCACCAGGAGCTGAATTACCCAGACTACTAATGGCAAGCAGAACACCAAGTCTTTAGGGATTTTCCTTCCAAAGGGCCATTTCAGGGAAATAGCTTTTCTGATTTCCCCAGACTGCGTGACATCCAAGCTCCCCCCTCTTCAAAGTTACCTACTTCAGTTAATTTGGTTTGACTTGTTCTCCTCGTCCATAACCATGCTTTCCCCACTTACTTCTGTTCTGTGTGGTCAGTTCTTCAACTGAGATGCGTCCCGGGTCTTCACACTTGCTGCCTCCCTGCTCTTTAATAATCCCTGCTTCTTCCTGCTTTTGTGCATCCATTATTCTGCCCCGCCTGCCCCCCTTTTTTTAGAGACGAGTCCTAAAGGACTCAACATCAAAACACCAGCACAGAGGGTTCCGAGGGGATTTTTACACCCACAGAGTGAGTGGCAGGCTACAAGGGAAGGACTCTGGGTGTTTGTACACCAGCATTTTCTCCCATCCCATGTCTCCCCGTCTTACCAATAAGCCCCGAGTAGGCGAGGAGGCAGTCAGCGTAATTTTCCTTTAGACAACTGCTCGCAGACCTTGACTCTGGCTGGCAGTTGGTGAAAAAATCGGCCAGGCGCGATCTGTAACAGGAAGAAAGTTGGGGGAGGGGGGAGGATATGTTTGAAAATAGCCCAAGCTTCTTCTGCACGGACGTAATTTTTCCTTACTCCTTTCTCAATAGGCCTTTTTCAACATCCCAAAATACAGAGAGTGTAGACTCTTAAAATGTTAGCATCTTCTCTTGTATACAAGCCCCCAGCCATCCCCTCGCCCACCTGTGTCTGCTTCTTTGCAGAGAAGTCTTCAGGGCCTGCAACTGGAGAAATCTTGACGCTTTGAAGTTTCCCTTCAATATTTATTTCTGACTAGACTTATTTGCATCTTTAGGAAATATGCTTCTGCACACACTCACCGGAGAGCCACAGTGGGAAAATATTTACTTTATACAGAAACATGTCCCTGGCGTCCAAATAGGATCCTACAGCCCATCTGCTCCCGTAATTCCTAGTGGCTTTAAGAATATGCGTATCTGGTCTTCTAAGTCATCTCTCATCTACCACCCCAGGGAGGGGGCAGTGGTATATTCCAGCCAAGGGATGCTGAGGGGGAAGTTTGCCTTTCCAGCACTGCAGGGAAAGGCAAAAGGGACTCGGAGACACTGGTCAGGATGCGACTGGGTGTAGGGGGTCCCCTGGTCAAAGTACAGCTTCTGTCTGCAGTTCAGGAAGCCTCCAGGGGCCAGCGCAGTCCACCCAGAAGCCCTGGGTGCTGGTGAAGTTGCCGAAGCACAAAGGGACTGCAGACATCACTGGTCTGCAGAGGAAAGGGGCTCTTTGTGGCCAACCGGCTGTTTTTCAGTCTGAAGAGGATATTGTTGGAGAAATTCTAAATGAGAACTGGGCCATCTCTAAGGTCATCTGAGCAGACAACAGCTCTGTTTCTATGTGAAGAACACAATAGACTTCAAGAGAAGCTAAATTATCTGGCGATTACAGGAGACAACGGATGGCTGTCTTAGCTCCTTCTCTTTAGCACACTCGAGTTGGCAGCCAACATACACAGGGCTGTTTTTACTTCTTTCCACCCAAGAAATTGTATTTACTTAGCATCCCTAATGATATAAACAGGGTTGCCTGGGTGGGGCTGAGCAAGGTAGAATGTGTGGAGATCACAGGGGTCTGTAAAGGGTCTGTAGGAAGCATATTCTGGGCCCTTTTCCTACAACTTGAACTGGAAGATTAAAAGGCCTTATGAAATGATCTGTGTGCACAGCACATTGGAAAGGCTGCCCAGTGTTCCTTTGGGATTGGTCTCTCCTTGAACCCATGTAAACAAGGCGTGTCTGAGCTTCCCTATCTGTGCCGATCTGTACACTCCGTATGTCGTGTGCCAGGTCCCATCATTGTGACTCCCCGGGGCAGGTGCTGGAGCTTTGCTTTATTTTCTTTGCACAGCACCTGACACTCCTCAGAACGTTTCCCGAGCGGGGCCATGTGGTGCAGCTAAGTGGCTTGGCAAAGATCCTCCAAATGAGGCTGGTGCATGCGCCTGTGTGTGTGCCTGCATCCCTCCCACAGTCTGAGCCTAGCTGGTGCTTTCTGACTCTAACTGAACACACCAAAGGGCGTGGAACCTGGCCATTTTCTGCAGCCTGGTTAAAGGATTTATCTTTCAGAAGAAATCCCTAAAGGTGACTCAGACTTACTCAACTGGCACCAATGGCATCCATCTTGGATCGAATGTCAATTTCAGAAGAGTTTTCCTGGTCATGAAAGTTAATGATCTCATGGCACTGGGCTTCTAACTTTGCAGAGGCCAACTGTGTGGTTCAGGCAGCTGGGACTCCAGCTCTGCACACAAGCCGATCAGCTCCCTGACCTGGCAGCCCCGTGCTCCCAGCTGCCCCCGCAGAGAGGGATGAAAGGTCGCGCTGTCTCCAAGCCTCCTGCTTCTCGTAGTCTCTCGTGCAGACTATTAACTGAACAGCACCGTGACTCGGATTACTATCCTCCAGCGGGAGGCTAATGCCACCAGACTCATTTTGCTTAACAACCTCAGAATTGACTCACAATTGGACTCTGGAATGAAAGGCTAATTGAGTTAGTCTGCTGCAGAGAACATAACCCTGATTGGGAGGATAAAACTAGATATACTGCTCTGAGCATCTCCCCGAACAGGCTGGTTTTAGAGAGAAGATTGTCAGCCCAAATCTCAGTCCTAAGACAAAACCAAAATGGTGAGCCTACACGGCATTGCTGAAACATGAACATTTCGCTGGTTCCTTCACCTCTGACCCACCTCCTCTTGCCATTCATGCCTGGAGACACGATGATCACTTTATGGGGTTCACATTTAACAGACAGAAAAACTGAAGGCAGAGGAAGTTTATATGGTGGTTGCTCAAGTGGGTGGACTTGTATGTTTTCATGAAATCTGCGAGTTGGTTAACTTCACAATGGTAGTTTGAAAGTGGACGAGGTGGGAGAATTTTCATTATGGTAATCAGTCAGCTCTACAGCTCACAACCCTATGCTGTTCTCAGAGAGCCAGTTGTTAAATATTTACTAGCACAATGCTCTCAAAAAACCAGCATGGTGTAGTCAATCCCACATATAAAGGAAGTATCTTTACTTCCTTTGAATTCTTGGGAACTCAAGGTTCTTGGGAGTTGAATTTCAGCACTTCCTGGATGAGCTACCTCTCCCATCCCTAATCACCTTTATGTCAAATGACATGTGAAATGGTGTCATAAATTAACCTCCAGTCTCCAGTATCTTCCAAAGAAAGAAAACGGTTCTCTCTAAAGATGCTCCCAACCCAACAACACAGCCACTGAAATCTCTCAAAGCAACGTGTGCAAACGATTACAAGTATTGACAAAGCAGCTGACTTCTTGTCCTTTGTATTTACTGAATGACGAGTCCAGGGCTTGTGTTAATAAGTATGAATGAGTTCCCTGTCCCTGAACCCAAATAACCTGCCATCTAGAAGCCAAGAGAAACAAGTAAAAAGATGATAATACCACGATGGCTAGTTCTCAATAAAAGATAAGAAACGTTGCTAATAAAAGTAACACAACATGAATCAAGTATTTAGAATATGTTAGGTACGTCTTCATATACTTTATATTTTTTCCTGGCAACTCTAATAAGGTAAGGACTATTACTCTGTTATCCTAATTTCACAGAGGAGGAAACAACAGCTTATTGAGTTTAGACCAGAGTGAAATAGTGAATAGCAGAACCAGGATTTAAAAGCTATAACAAACCTAGACAGCATATTAAAAGGCAAAGACATCACTTTGCTGACAAAGGTCTGTATAGTCAAAGCTATGGTCTTCCCAGTAGTCATGTACTCAATGAGAGCTGGACCATAAAGAAGGCTGAGCCCTAAAAAACTGATGCTTTCCAACTGTGGTGCTGGAGAAGACTCTTGAGAGTCCCTTGGACAACAAGGAGATCAATCCAGTCAATCCTAAAGGAAATCAATCCTGAATACTCATTGGAAGGACTGATGCTGAAGCTGAAGCTCCAATACTTGGCCACCTGATGTGAAGGGTCAACTCATTGGAAAAGACTATTATGCTGAAGGCAGAAGAAGAAGGTGGCAGAGGATGAGACTGTTGGATAGCATCACCGATTCAATGGACATGAACTTGAGCAAACTCCAGCAGTTAGTGAGGGTCAGGGAAGTCTGGTGTGCTGCAGTCCATGGGGTCGCAAAGAGTTGGACACTTCTTAATAACTGAACAACAACAATAACAAATTCTGATTCTACAATTTAAGCTTTTAACACAACAGGAACTAGTTTCAGAGAAGTTGTAATATTGAGACTGAGGCTTGGAGGATCAGTAGGATCCTTCAGGTAAAGGGGGAAGAGGGTGTTCCCTCTGCAGAAGGAAGCAATAAGTGATAAAATAACTAGATTCATAAAAATCCCAGGAGAACAATCACAGATTATTTGCACTGATCGAAGTGTCTGGCATTTATTCACATATTTAATTTTAACTGCAGTAGGTGATACCACCAGCCCCATTTAGCAGATGGAGACACTGAGGCAAAGAGAGGTTAAGTAACTCCTCAGAGGTTGTAGACCTCCGTGCTGGAGCTGAAACGTGACCACATTCTAGGTGACTCCAGAGCCACAGTACATTCTCAACCACTACACCTAACATGGAGTCAAACAGACTCAGACATGACTTGGCAACTGAACAAAACCACCACCACCACCTAATGCATGCATCATCCAGAAAACTGTCAACTGTTCACTTGGGATGGCTGGGCCACAGGAAGCACATGGTGAGTGACAGGAGATGGTGCCAGCAAGATCAGCAAGGGCCTTGAATGACCTAAGAGGCTGGATTTTATCCTGAAAGCAGTGGGAACCATCAAAGGATTTTAAACAGAGAGTTAACATAATCAGGTCTGCAAAACAGAAGGACTCTTGGGTGTTTCAGTTATTAAGCAAAGATTTGCTTGAAACTTCTTCTATGCCCTCCCTGCTCTAGCAGAGATGAGAAGAGCAGGGAACTGGCCAAAGGAAGGAAGGACAGTTGTGCTGGAGGCTGAAGCCAGTTGGGTACCCTGAGGCGAGAACTGAGGACTAGAAGAGGAGGGGGGAAAGAGGATGCCCTTGAATAGTGGGTGTTGAGTGAGTGAGTCAAAGTCGCTCAGTTGCGTCCAACCTGCAACCCCATGGACTATACAATCTGTGGAATTCTCCAGGTCATAACACTGGAGTGGGTAGCCATTCCCTTCTCCAGGGGATCTTCCCAACCCAGGGATCGAACCCAGGTCTCCCACATTGCAGGAAGATTATTTACCAACTGAGCCACCGAGGAAGCCTGTGGTGGGTGTTGATGGAATGAAAGTCAAGACTGGGGACGTCCCTGGTGGTCCAGTGGCTAAGAATCTGACTTGCAATGCAGGGAAGTTGGGTTCAATCCCTGACTGGGGAACTAAGATCCTGAATGCATGTGTGCTAAGTCACTTCAGTCATGTCTGACTCTTTGTGACCCTATGGACTGTAGCCCACCAGACTCATCTGTCCATGGGATTCTCCAGGTAACAATACTGGAGTG